TTAAGAAGGGTGTGAATGATTATGGACATGTGGTTTTTTTTTTTTTTTTTTTAGATGGAAATAAAATCAGAAATTTTTTTATTATATAATGTTTCATCAAATGAAAAACAAACGAGATGTTTTAGACGGGTCGGATTAAGCAGCACGCAGGTGAAGCCCCAAACGAACCACCTGATTAAGAAACGCCTGCTTACATTATAAGGGGTGATGGTTTCTCTCAGGATATCTGCAACAAAAAGATCAGCATCTGTTTATTTCCAGCATTTCAAACACAGGAGGATTAAAAGTGATCCGTCGATTCACACCGATTGAATTCTCCCTCGCACACAGTTTGCATTTCTGCACCATGCTGGCGCTGCCCCTGCCTCCTTTCAGAGGAACGTTCTCCTGTGAAAACACAGACAGCCGCCCGATGTTAAAACGGTTCATTACGCAACAAAGCTGAGCTACCTCCATCCTTACCATTAGAGTCACATACTGCCATTTATCAGGGATCTCACCACAGTTTCCACACTTCAGCTGAAGGGGAGAATAGAAAACAGATTAGGTGAGCAGAGCAACAAAATAAAACACATTCAGGGAAGCTTCAATGTTTCTTCTGCTTTATCTTTTAACTCGCCTTTAAACTGCATTTTGTCTACAATAATCACAATGAAATATTTCTTTTAATCACCAGATGTCTTCATAGATGTAACAAACTGTTATCAAGTCATGGAAATATGTCATAATACTCAACTTCCATGTTTCTTTTACTATATGAAACTATATTTAATATTCTAATGCTGGTTATGATAGTGATTGGTGGAGAAAAGCTCGATTAGTCGGACAGTAAAAGGTAACAGAACAGTAATGTGTTTGCTAGCACTGATTTCAGTCCATCTAAAATAACAGGGGGTCCCACAGGGAGCAGTGCTGGCACCCTTCCTCTTCACCATCTACACTGCAGACTTCTCCATCAACTCCAAAGCTGCCACCTCCAGAATTTTTATGACGATTCTGCCACAGTTGGCCTCATCACCGGTGGGGACGACTCAGAGTACAGAAAGTGGACCCAGAACTTTGTGACCACTGAAACTGGTGTACTTTTAGATAGTGGACTTTTATTAGTACCTAGATGTTCACCTGAATAACAAATTGGACTGGACTCACAACACTGAGGCTCTCTACAAGAAAGATCAGAGCAGACTCTTCCTGTTGAGGAGACTGAGGTCTTTCAGAGTACAGGGGGCGCTCCTGAAAACCTTCTATGACTGTTGTGGCATCAGCCACTTTCTATGGAGCTGTCTGTTGGAGCAGTGGCTTATTGGTAGCTGAGAGGAAGCGGCTGGATAAGCTGATCAGGAAGGCCAGCTCTGTGACTGGATGCCCTCTGGACTCAGTGCAGGAGGTGGGAAGCAAAAGGGTCCTAACTAAATGAACATTTCTGTTGGATAATGTCTCCCACCCCATGCATGAAGCTGTTTCAGAACTGGAGAGCTCCTTCATTGACCCTAAATGCACCAGGGGGAGTTATCACGGATCCTTCCTCCCAGCAGCTCTAAGACTCTATAACCACCACTGTTCCCAACAACCTTAATAAGATGTTAGGTAAGTTGTTACGAATTTGCAGAGTTTCTCTACCTTAGTCAGTTAAATAACATGCTGCTGTCATTTTGCACATCTCTGATGTTGCTGCTATTTTTCAAATATCCATTACTTTAAAATGTCCATAGCTGTATATTGGTTATTTATTCTCCAGTTTTTATAGTTTTGCAGTTTTTATATTGTTAAAACACTTTCCTGTACAGTATTTTATTTGTTTATTTATTTTTTTCTTATATATTTTTCTAAGGTTCATATTTGTGTGACCATTTTTTTCCCCAATACTCTTTTTGCTGTTGTAAACACCACAATTTCATCCGAATTGTGCATTTTGATCATTTCTAAAGCGAAATAATCTTCCCATATTGGGGTCTTTAAGTAAACAAGATTTATCACCTATAGAAACAAGTTGTAGGTGCAACTCGTCACTTAAAATGTCAGCAGAATTTTCTTAGAAATAAAGTAAATAAACAAAAGATTGATGCCAACACTGCTGACTAGGCAGTAGAAAACAGCCCAATGTTAACCACGCCCCCCTGATTAATTTGGTATGACCCAATCTGAGATCATACAGCACATCATACGTCAAAAAGATTAATGAATGAAAATTAATCTATTTCATAACTGCATTTGATTCATCAGAATTAGACATTTAGCAGTTTTGGATAGTGGTGAGGCAGAAGGAGCATGCTAGCTTAGCAGCTAGCCTACCTTTAGAAACCAGCGGAAGTCTTCCCCCATCGGCCTCACGTTCGTCACATTTTCCAGAGTGGCTTTAAACTGCAGCCCGAATTTCTACCATGCAGTGAAGACAGAAGTTAAAGTTTAAACACAACGAGCTGAACGGGAGCGCTTTAAATCAGGAGCATGCAGCTGGAGAAAAACATACCACCATCTTGACGCTGTGACGACAACTGTCTGCTGCGTTCAGGAATCCTGGGAAATATTAAACTCTACTACTTTCACGTTTTTGTTTCTTGTTCTTTTTTTTTTTTTTTTACTTGACGATTTATGTGGAGATACTTTCTCAGAGCATAATAAGGCTAACCTAAACTAAACAGTCTCTAGAAAAAAGAATGTATTCGGACATAAGTATTTCTCTGGAGGCATGGATATTGTAGAATAAAAAATTATTCGAACTAAAATTTAATGTAAAATTACTAAGGAACTTTTATATATTTATATTTTATAAAAAAATCGTTATAAAAATAAAAAAATATATACAAAAGTTTTTTTTACAATAACCTTTTGCACATGAACATTACTTAAGGTAGCAAAGCAACACTCGCGCTCCACCTAGTGGCCAACATGAGGGATTGCTGTGACTGTGGAACCTTGATACTAGAAATCCAGACTAATTTCCAGATTAAACACTTTTACCTTGGTTCTGATCATTCTCGTGCATTTGTGAAAACAGAACATGATAATACAGCTTGCAGGCACGGTTATAAAATGTCTTAAATAAATAACACCAAACAAAACTCATCTGCATCAGTTTATTTACCATCAGGCAACTAACCAATCAGAGCCTTACTTCCCAGCCATACAATAAAATTCATTCATTCAAGTGTACATCACAAATACAGGACTTGGCATTAAAAAATGTTAATTGAAACCCTTTTAGGCAGAGGTTGGTTTCTAGTGTTGAGATTTGCTGTGCATGAGAACCTGAGGCAACTTCACCTAGGCATTATGGTGGCTGTTCTCCACACACCCGGAATGACTGCTATTGCTGCGACGTTGATCCCCCCCCCCTCCCAAACCACCCATTGATGATGTGGCATTTCAGGCCAACTGTATAACCCTGAGTCCGTCTATGTCATCACAGTTGATTTGGCTGAATGAGCGAGCAAAAGCACCTTTGGAATTAATTTAGAAATTAATCTTGCTTTAAATTAAAAATACCTGTTTAGACAGGCTACAAATTATTTCAATTCAAATAAATACATGTCCATGAAAGAACCATTTCTGGATTAATCATAAAGCGTTTGCCTCCGATGTGTGACATGACTATAAGCAGTAACAATGCTTCTGTTAAATAGTACAATTTGAGGTGGGTGAAAAAAACAGATCTGTAATGTTACACAAATTAACATCAGGGCCGTACAGATTTTTGACTAATCAATGGCGACACACACTACCAAGATTGTCGATACAGACAGAAAACCTGCCTTTGGCCAATTTTAAACCGTGAGTTTCAAACATTTCCAGGGTGCCCCAAAACATCAGGGCTTCAAGTTTTACCAGATAAAAAAAAAAAAGAAAATTAAAAACAAAACGTTGCTTTTTTTATTTGCCAACAGCAAAATATTCCATTATTCAGCAGGGGACACATAAAAAAAAATAAAAGGGAGGAGAAAACCTGGTTTAAAATGGAACCGAGGTTTTTATAAGAGGACCCTTCTTAATCCTTTAAACAAAAAATTTAAACAAGTTTTAACAAAAACAACAATAACCGATCACAAAAGGGGAGTCGATGCAAGGCATTTCCGTTACTCTTCTGTCTTTTGCTTCTTAAATACAGGATAGCCAGGGTGGCGTTATTTACAGTGCGACACCCACACCCCTCTCCGCCCTGTGAAGAGAGGCGAGGCGATGTCAGTGAGGCCGGCTGCTGGACTCTGAGGTTCTCCGCTGCCGGGGCGTGCTGTGTCCGTTCACAAAGCCGTTCTGACGCTTGGTCTGTCCACCGTTAAGAATGTCTTGGATGTGCTGGACTATCAAGTTGATGGCCACTGCAATATAGAAAATGGACACAAGATAAAATTGCAATACCCCAACAATTGCTTTGGAAAGCCTACGAGCATCAGCAAGGTTTTAAAAAGAAACAAAGATGTTTGGATCTCCTGCGCTAAGCAAGTCCAGTAAAGTTTCTGAGATCTTGAATAGTGTCTCCTGAAGGGAAGCTTAATGCTTGATTGCTGAAAAATGCAGTAAATATGCAAACATTAAGGAAGTAATCAAATCCTGCTACAGCTTCTTCTATTATTTTCACCTTAAACACACAAAAAAATATGTAACTTTCTATTATACAATAGGCAGACAAATGCGAGCTCTAAATCAGGAGCCTGGCTCATTTTGTTGACATTCCACTCAACAAAGTTTCCGTTTTTTCCTGGTAGGTGAAAGTTAACAACCTCTGCCCTACTGTGTTTATACAAACAACAACCAGCCTTCACTTACCAAGGTTATCTGCCCCTTTGGGAATAATCAAATCTGCATATTTCTTGGTCTAGAAGGGAAAGAAATTTCTAGTTAAAGGAAATCCAATGATTTACCAATGCAGCTCAAATTAAAAGCTGAAATCAACATTTTTCTCAACAACAAAAGCAAAACGAGACATTAGCACCTAGTGGATCAAATATGCAACTGCAGCATTGATTTCTCACATATTTGCTTTACATTATGACAAGAAACTGGTCCCCAGTTTCTTATATCATCGAAATATAGATCACAATTCTGGAGTAAATATACACTGAAAACCAAATTCTAAATGTATAATAAATATTAATGACATTTCAGCTTTTTTAAACTCCAATATCTGTCATTGTAGGAAAATCCTGGCAGCTTTTCTTACCGGCAAACAGAACTCCTCAAAGGCCGGTTTCACAAAAGTTATATACTGACTGAGCACCTGCTCCAGCTCTCTGCCACGCTCATTGATGTCCCTCAGAACTGAAAAAAGAAAACACACATGGTAAGATGTTTAGCAGAGTTCAGCCCTGTAGAATCCAAGTGCTATAGTTTGCCTGACAGTCAACTTAACGTTTCAAAAAATAGATGTTTTAAGTTACTTATAAACAAGTCTAAGTGACAAAATATTATGTGGCAGCTGTGTGTGTCCCGTCCGATCTTTCTATACACCTCGACGCGAGAGCCGCGTGTCTGGATCTGTGTCAACAAACAGCTTCATCTGGAACAGGTCCCTGATTTCCTGAGAGTAGAACATGAGGATGCCCTCAAACAGGACCACATCTGCCGGATACACCGTAACAAAGTCCTCTTTCCTGGAACAACACACAGAAAAGTTTCCTTTTCTCTGTGGCTGACTGCATTCAGACATGATTTTAAAAAAAAAACTCAGGACCAGAAGAAAAGCACCAAAATAATCACTTTACAGGACTTCTTATTATGACTAGTAAGTGAAAATCACTCTCCTGTGGGAGACAAAAATAATCTGAGCTGGTGAGTCAGGGAAACGCTCACCTGGAATGGGTGACAAAGTCGTAAACTGGGATTTGCACAGTCTTTCCCTGAAGGATCAGTCTGAGCGTCTGCATGATGAGCTCGTTGTCGAAGGCATCTAAGGGGAAAGCAAAGGAACATGATACGTTTAATTTTTTTAAATCCTTTACTGGCTTAATTTCAAACAGCAAAGAAACAGGTCCTGTCAATGTGAAGAGTTTTAACGTCTTTCCATACCTGGATGGTCAAAATTGAACTGGCCCTTTAGTGCTTTGGCTTTCTGCTCTGGAGTCAGCACCTTGTAGAAGCTGTCCTGGCTGAGGATGGCCACCTGTCGCTGGTGGTGGTCTATTTCATTCTGGCCCAGCTTCTCCATGATCTTCTCACACACAGATGACTGTTTAAAAAAAAAAAAAAAGGAACCAATAGTAAACATCAAACTTTCAGCAGGCCAAATTAAACCCATCCAGTCCATCTTCCCCTCCCTACCTTAGGTGGCGCACGCCTTACCTTTAGCAGCGAGTTAAATGATAAAGCTGCACTGTGGACCATCAAGTGCACTCACTAACCCCAGCAGCTCATTGCTGACTGAGCAATCCCCTCCCCTCCTGAGGCCTAGGTGTCTTTGTGCCAATAAAACTGTGCAGCAATCGGTTTTGTTGCCCCCCGTGGCAGTAGCAATTAATTCGACCAAATGCAGCATTTTTAAGACAAATTGGTTGAAATACACCCTTGAATCAGAGCACTAACACCACCTACACATTTTATTACAATCCCCTTCTAAATATAATTTATACTTTGAGAATCATCTGTTCAGTTCAAAGTAGAATGCATTTTTTAAAACCAAATGCTGCAGCAGCTACTTAATGGTGTCCAACCAAAATAATATATTTGGCTGAAATTTTATTTCAAACCTTATAGGCTGATGAAGGGTAACACTAAGTCAGGTGGTTATAAAAAGACCCACCGCAAAGGGATATGACATCATCCACACGATAATAAATCAGAGGGGCGGGGCTTAAATGTAAAGATGTATCATACGAACACAATATTCGTTAAGGGAGAGGATTGGGGCCACTGAAAAAATAAAAAAGCTGTAGCCATGTCTGTTTTAGAGACTAAACTAGCTCTCTTGTTTTAAAATCACCTTCTGCTTCCATTAATCAAATAGCATCACCGGGGGTCCGTCGGGAACCTAAAAAGTCACCTAATTTCTAGCCTAGTAAAAAAGCCCCAGCCACCAAAATCATATTTAATTTCACATTTAGTCTGGTTTATCAGGCTACCTGATTCCATCATTTTCCACCATTGTGTTACTGGTCCTCCCAAACAGCTCACATCTTTGTCAGTGAAGCTGAGTGCTCCCACATCTCTTCCTTAATGGTGCCCATCTACATTAAAGTCAGAATTTTGAGGAAAAAAGTCAGAATTGTGAGGAAAAAAAGTCAGAATTTTGAGGAAAAAAAGTCAGAATTTTGAGGAAAACAGTCAGAATTCTGAGGAAAACAGTCAGAATTCTGAGGAAAACAGTCAGAATTCTGAGGAAAACAGTCAGAATTCTGAGGAAAACAGAATTCTGAGAAAAACAGTCAGAATTTTGAGAAAAACAGTCAGAATTCTGAGTAAAACAGTCAGAATTCTGAGAAAAACAGTCAGAATTCTGAGAAAAACAGTCAGAATTCTGAGAAAAACAGTCAGAATTCTGAGAAAAACAGTCAGAATTCTGAGAAAAACAGTCAGAATTTTGAGATTAAAGTCAGAATTCTGAGAAATAAGTCAGAATACTAAGATTAAAGTCAGAATACTAAGATTAAAGTCAGAATACTAAGATTAAAGTCAGAATACTAAGATTAAAGTCAGAATACTGACTTTTTCCCATATTAAAATGAAAAAAAAAATTAAAAAATCAGTTAACTTTCCATTTTATTTTTACAGTGGCCTTAATCCTCTTCCCTAATTCATAAATCGATGCAACATATTATATTGTATTTCTAGTGTGGACTTGATGGCTTCAAACTGGAATAACATATGGCTTTAAATTAATTTCATAAAGAAACTTAAATCTGTGATTTCTTGAAAACATCATGGACCCCGACCATCTAAGGCGTGTTTATTTATTTTTTTATTTGACAGGTTTCATTGTGGACTAACTGATCACTCAGAGTCTCACATGTTAAAGCGCATCTGTTCCGATGCCTGTCATCCCACGCTGCAGCTACTGGCTGCTCCTACATGAGAGAACAGACGTGGGCGAAATCTTTTATTCGGCACTTTCGCGCGGACATTGTGCTTACCATCCGCCCATAATCTCGATACAACAATATTAATAATTGAATTAATAAAAAAAAATACTAAGAGAAAGATTTCTAGTGAATGATTTTTCATATTTTTCTGAAATAAAACGGATTCGGAAAAGCACAGAGCTCACCGATGTTTACAAACAGATTCGTCCCGTTAGCATTAGCTATTGTTTTACCGAATCCGCTAACATGTGATGGAATCCAGCCCAGGGTAGCAGCATGGCAGAGCTGAAGGAAAGGAAACCAGCTGGACTGAAAAATAACAGATATAAGGGGAAAATAAACACTAAGTTCAGGTTCACAGCTGATCGACTCCCCGGACCGAGCGGATATCCCGGGCGGTTATGATGAACAGGTGATGTGGCTGACAATGTGCCCGATGCGTCACAGCAGCCACGCGGCTCATTAGCTTTAGCATCCCGTTACTGTGCCAACGGCAGCTGCGACTTCAATTATAAGTAATAAAATTATTAAGATTTGTCAGGGAACGGCTAAGAAGAAGGCCAACCTTGCCGCTAGCTGTGCCACCGGAGACACCGATGAGAAAAGGTTGCCGAATCACGTTGGTGTTCTCATCCCGGTCCCTGAGAAGAGCCTCACTGTCTCCGGCCATCGCTGCAATGTGCTGCCAGAGCCGCTGCGCTAGAACGTCACTGCGGGGAAGCTCCTCCCACTTACTGAACACGCCCACACCGTTATGACCATCTTTAATGTTAGAAATTAACTTTAATTTCATTTACGTTCAGAAATAAGTTTTATCAAGTGTTTTGTTTTTATACATTTCTTTGAGCGGTGGCAGAACAGATAGGAAAAGCAGATTTAAGTTGGTTTTCTTTTAAAAAAAGATCGTTATTCTCCTCGAGGAAAATTATTTTTGATGTAATGCTGCTCTCGAACTATTTTTGGCTACTCTGCCCGCATTTGGTCAGAGGAACAAACATGTGCAGACAGAGATGGCACAGGAAGACTTCCTGCCTCTTCTGTCTGCTGCTGAAAGTAGTATCTCTCTAAAAAAAAAAAAACTAAAAAAAACATTTAAAAAAAGCAAACTAAATGGAATGAAAATGTATTTAGCACCTTGATTTATCTTTTTATTTAATTGTGTTTAGTGCTGTTAGTGTTGAAGAGAAAAAATTGACTTCTGACTGAATCAATAAAAAAAGTAATTAGAGATTTTACAGATTTTTTATTTATTTGTTCTAATTAGTTGCTTCAAAATAATAGAATGTGTTTTTAACTTTAGGTTTCTATCTTTTATTTTGCAACAAAGTCATAAAATTATAGTTGTATTGTTTTATATTTTGTAACATCATTTGCGTTTCACTACCATTATTGTTAATCTAAATCATTAAAAGTGCCACTCACAATATGGTTGCGTGCGCTCATGTTTCTAAGTGTCGCTGTTTGACAACGTCAGTTTACTCCGCCTTTTTTGTTTACTTATTCTTAATAGTTGCTTTAAAATAACAATGAGTTTGTAGCTTTAGGTTTCTATCTTTTAATTTGCAACAAATTCATTGTACTGTTTAAGATTTTGTCAATTGTTTTGCGTTTCACTGCCATTCAAAGTGATCTAATCATTAAAAATGCCACTCGCAATATGGCGGCGTGCGCGCATCTTTCTAATGGTCGCTGTTTGACAACGTCACTTTGCCCCGCCTCTTGCTAAGCTTGTGCAGAACTGTCGAAATGTTGACTTCACAATTATAGTAGAAGCTATAATAATTGCCTCAACGGTTTATTTGAAGTTTTTTCTGTAAGTGCGTAGGAGAGCTAAAGCTGTTACAAAAATATCAGCACATATTACGATTCGAGGAAATGTTCGCGTTTATAATCAACTGTTTCGGACTTTTCGCATGACTTTAACCTGTATGGTTGTTTTTTTTTTCTCTCCTGTTTACAGTCAGTGTTTAAAGTTGGGGTAAACAGGTCGGTTATAAAAAATGATCCGGAGATTTCTCCCCGCTTCCGCTCCCACGCTTTCTGCCGCAGTAAGGTGCTTGTCTACGGGTTCGGTGAGCATCAACGTCCCGCTAAACTACTGGGCTGGACAGAGAAGGAGAAGCTTAGAAAAACGCGATAAGGAGAAAGTTTATGAACCCGCCACGGGTAAGTCAAACAGCGAAGGCTGTTTCCTCAATGGACTTTGCTCACTGATGTTTGATAATGACTTATTCTTAAGCCTTAAACAATATCAGTTAAAAACTTGGTATGCAGGTGCAGTTTTTCAGCAAATATGTATCACTTGTGTTGTACAACGCCTTTGCAAAAGAATTTTCCTGCATCCATGTTTCTTTTTATGGACTCTAATGTTATAAGTTCAACATGCATATTGCATAATTGTGAATAAAAGTCTTGATTCAGAAGTCGTGTTCGCCATAGTTTTTCCACACTTGTCTCTAAGGCCAAAATAGAAACTTTTGGACCAAATGCAAAACTATATGAGGTAGAAAACTTCTTATGTTTAAACACATCATCTTCTCTTTAAAAGCATGGCGGTGGCAGTGTCTTGCTTAGGGAATGGTTTTTAGGAGGTAAAAAAAAAGATGATGATGGTTCAAACAGGATAAGGGTAAATATACTGCCAGAGTTGCAGTGTGTTTCTAAAGATCTAAGCTTATTCATGCGGTACAATGGTCTAGTCAAAGTCCAGACTTTGAGTCAATATAGAATATGTTGCTATATTAAAAAAGGGTGTTTATAGATTTTTATTATTTTTTTTATCAAATCTGACTAAGCTTAAACTCCTTTACAAACAAAAATAAGAAACATAGATGCTCAAAGCTGAGACAGACAGAAAAACACCTCAAAAGGAGAATAAATAATTTAGCAAGGCAACAGATCAGTATGACTTGAATTTTTTTCCTTACTGATCTAGAAAAGTAATGTTGTTTTAATATTTTTCTGCAGCTTATCTTTCTCATTGTCTTGTTTCTTGTTTCCACCTACAGGCCGTGTCTTGTGCCATTTGGAGCCATGTGGTAAAGAGGAGGTCAGTCAGGCTGTGGAGGCGGCTAAGTCGGCGTTTGGTCCCTGGAGCAGAATGTCAGGGATGGAGAGAGCAAGGATCATGATAGAAGCTGCTCATTTAATCGAGGTGTTTCAAGTTTTATATCATTTAGTCTTTCCAACAGCGATTCATTTAAAGGTATTAACCCCTGGTTGTCTTACACAGAGCAGGAGAGAGGAGATCGCTGAGATGGAGGTGGTCAATAATGGGAAGTCAATCACTGAGGCCCGTTTAGATGTGGACTCTGCTAGACTGTGTATAGAATATTATGCAGGAGTGGCCAGCACTTTGGCAGGTTGGTACCAGCTGCGTATGCAGTGCTTTTGTCCATTTGTTTTATTTCTACTTGCTTTCTAAAATAAATATGGGTATGGTGATGTGAAGGGTGTATAAAACTTTTTAGAAAAGATGAAAGGTCAACCGCTCCAGTTTGCAATGGATAAAATACAGGCAAAATACGACATATAAAGTAAAGGACAATGTCATGGTGAAATTTGGATGATAAAACAAAATCTCTGAATATCCCATCATCTAATTCAGATCCTGTCAAACATATTAGCACAGTAATGCCTCATTCAAAGCCCCTGAGCCTAATTGGACCAAAAATCTATCTGATATTTTTCCTTTAGCCATTGACATAATGTGTAGTAAATCAGTTCTCCAAACGAATCCTCTGTTTTAAATGGTTTTCTGCTTCTTTTCTGCCAAGGCCAGCATGTTCAGCTACCTGGGGGATCCTTTGCCTACACCCGCAGGGAGCCTCTTGGAGTGTGCGTAGGCATCGGCGCCTGGAATTATCCCTTCCAGATCGTTGCCTGGAAGTCCGCTCCAGCACTGGCCTGTGGTAGGGAGATTCTTCTGAAGCTCTAAAGACATTCTACTCCAAATTAGGGCAAACTGTTCAAAATTAGCACAAGAAATAGTTCAGTTCAATTCAGTTTATTTATATAGCGCCAATTCGCAACACGTCATCTAAAGGCACTTTACAGTTCACCGGATCATCCAGTCAAATTGATTCAAAGTTTTCTACCTAAGAAAAACCAGTCGATTGCATCGACTAGAAGGCAATCCCTAACACCAAACATGCTTGTAGTAACAGTGGAGAGGAAAAACTCCCTTTTAACAAGAAGAAGCCTCCAGCAGAACCAGGCTCAGTGTGAGCGGCCATCTCCCGAGGCTGACTGGGGTTCAAGGAGACAGGAGCAGACATACAGAAAGAAGCAAAGATACAAAAGAATTTATCAACCAGCTCCACAGGCGGCCCCATCCAGGAAACACACAGCCAGGCAGAAGAGCTCCGAGTCAGCTCCCATGTCAGGGGATAAAGAGAGCACATCCAGCCATCACAGTCAGAGAAACAGGACTACAGTGAAAAATAGACTGAGGTCAAACATCTATAAACAAAAGTGTTGATGGCAGCAGCACAGCTGAACGGGAACAGACGAGGCGAAGCTACTATGAGTAAAAACCAGAGAGAGCATAACGTTAGAGATTGAACAAAAAAATTCTGCAGAATGGGAGAATAGAGATAGAATGAAGCCGAATGATGAAAAAGGGGTCCCTATGTCCTCCGGCAGTCTAAGCCTATAGCAGCATAACTATAGAGATAGCTCAGGATAACCTGAGCCGCTCTATAAGCTTTACCAATTATGGGTGTATTTTTTTAACATGTTCTAAAATAAATTCTCAATTTTTCAATCAAAAATAATAATTTAAAAGATAAAAGCTAGAGAATACTGTGGGAAGTTTCAGTTCTATCTTACAGATTCTTCTAAAAAAGTACGCCGATAAAAATAAAACTATAGTAAAAAAAAAAAAAGGAGAATATGCTTCCATCCAAATGTCATGTGAATTTTGAGCAAAGAAGAAGAGGCAGTTCAAATCAACGCAAATCAATTTATTCAAATCACCTGGATGGACTTAATTTAGAACTAGTTCATGTTAAGGATGAACTGAACCGACAGCTTTGAATGTTTTAGCCGTAGTGTGTTTTAACACTAAACTTCTGACCATCCGGTAGTAAATCTAAAAGAGTTTTCAGAACATATCTATCCAAAATATGCACAAAGCTTAACATAATTTTACAGAGTGAGAGCAATCATTATACAAACAATAAGTCCAAGAATTTAGGCCTCACTTGATATCCTGTTTCATGTTCTCCAAAACAGGTAACTCCATGGTGTTCAAGCCATCACCAGTCACACCAGTGACAGCGGTGCTACTGGCTGAGATCTATGCCAAGGCTGGAGCTCCAGAGGGGCTGTTCAATGTGGTGCAGGGTGGACAGGAAACAGGCAGCTTACTGTGTCACCACCCTGATGTCGCTAAGGTGTCCTTCACAGGAAGTGTGCCCACAGGACAGAAGGTCTGTGTTTTACCCTATTCAATTTAATATTTCTATAAAGGAAGGACTGATGGTTCGTCTTTAATGTGACTTTCAGATCATGGAAATGGCATCAAAGGGAATAAAGCCGGTGACTCTGGAGCTGGGGGGGAAATCTCCTGTGATCATATTCAAGGACTGTGATCTAGAGAACGCCGTGAGAGGAGCGCTCATGGCCAACTTCCTGTCTCAAGGCCAGGTAGAGCATACTGGTTCGGATGAAGTCAGCAATATAACAAGACAGCATAAGGATAATAAATATTCATAGCAGCACTTTGGTTGAAAACACGTGTGCTTGTGTCAACTTTTGTCACTTTGAGGGTGGAACCAACCTGAAAAAGTAAACTGATTGGCTAGTTTTAAGGAAATCTCACCTCTAGAGACATTACAGCTTTTTCTAATTGCAGCTAGGCAATAAGGAAAGTTAAATTTAAGACTTTTTAAGACTTTTTAAG